TGTCATTTTACAGAGTTCCTGTTATGCTGCTTACTTTTTATGATTAATAATGAATTTAGTACTGACCGTGCACTTGGTGCTGTACAAAACAGAATGATAAAAAGAATCCTGGCTCCCAAGTGCTTAGAGTATAAAAGATAATTGCAGAGAAGACCGGATGAACTGGATGTTTTGATTTCTCTCATAATATAGTTCTTATCCATAAAATAGAGATAATGCTTCCTTTATCCTGCCATTTTAGACTATTAGCTCTTTGGAAGAGAGCTCCTGTGTTTGTACAGTACCTAGCATGATGGGACCTCTAGGCATTACTATAATACAAATAAGGATCTCTCTTTTTTTTTCTTATAAGCTTTGTGGAAGAAGCACAATTTTTATGGAAGGATTTGAATAGGAAGAGCGTAGCCGCTTGTTGATCACGAGGCCACTCTGTGCATAAAGAGCAGTGTGAATAAACAGGCAGAAATGGAAGAGGGAAAAGGAAACAAATGGGATGTTAAGGCTTGCTTTGCTGGAGTGTGATGGGGGTGGGAGGACATGATGGAAAAATATCTTAACCTCCAGCATGAAATAGTTTCTCTTTATAAATCAAATAAATATACTATTTGCACTTCTATAGCCCCTTCTATCTAAGGATCTCAACGTGCTGTGCATTCACCAGAAAATTAGGCTTTCACATTCTCAGCAGTAACCACATTCAGACAAAAAGAACAGGAGTACTTGTGGCACCTTAGAGACTAACAAATTTATTTGACCATAAGCTTTCGTGGGCTACAGCCCACTTCATCGGATGCATAGAATGGAACATACGGTAAGAAGATATTTATACATACAGAGAACATGAAAAGGTGGAAGTACCCATACCAACTGTAAGAGGCTAATTAATTAAGAGAAGCTATTATCAGCAGGGGAGAAAAACTCACAAAGGTACATGGACTTTTTGTTATAAAGGATTGCCCTATTGTGAGACTTAGCATAGATACATGCTACCATATCTGGAGTTGCAGACATTTTAGATGACACAGAGATTCCATACGTACTGCTGACCATGCCACAGGCAAATATTCTACTTCTTCGAGTGCTTGCTCGTGTAGATTCCATTCTAGGTGTGTCGTGCCCACGTGCAGTCGTCGGAGATTTTTGCCTTAGCAGTACCCATAGGGTCGACTGTAGCGCCCTTGAGTGCCATGCTCATGCGCTGGTATATTAGGCACTGCTGACCCTACACCCTCTCAGTTCCTTCTTACCGCCCATGAGAGTTGGTCAGTCACAAGAGCATTAGCAGTTCTTACAGTCCATTGTTCTCTCTCCTTTGTTGTTAGTTGTTAGGTACTTAGTTAGACCTTTAAGTTAAGTGTTCGAGTAGTTGTTTAGGTGTTAGAGTCTTGGCCGGGACTAGCATGTCCCGTTTCCCAGGCTTTAAGCCATGCTCAGTGTGCAGCCACCCGATGCCCACTAGTGAACCCCATGAGAGCTGTTTAAAGTTTTTGGGGCAGTTCCACAGAAAGGACAAATGCAGGATCTGCAAAAATTTTGCCCTCAAACTCAAATGGAGCAGGATATCCACTTGAGGGCCCTCCTCATGGAGGCTGCGCTTTGTCCTACCTTGGAGCCGTCCCGATTGGACTCCATGCCCAGCACCTTGGCGTCAGCACGCAGCACACCACCGGCACTGGAACCCTACCAGCACCATGCCTCCTCCCCAGTGCCTAAGAAGTAGTTGAATTCAACAAGCCCGCTGGCACCGCAGAAAAAGGGGGCTTCTGGCAAAGGACTTTTGGCAGGCCACATGCCTGCACCAGAGCTGCTCGGGGGTACTTATACGGTCAGACCCCCTAGTCCAGCCAGGGACCCGCGTCCAACTCCTGGGAGCGGCAGGGAGTCTAGTCCCCTAGTAGGGTCATCTGTGCCCGAAGCCAGCCCGGCGGCCAAAGAGCAAGTAGGCTGACCAGCACCACAGACACCAAGCCAGGCGACGGAACCGGCCAAGGCCCCAGCATCTACGGGCAAGCTGGTTATGGGACTGCCCCCTAAAGCAGCGGCGCATCCCCGCTCCGCAGGCATCGATCCCCATCACCGCGGCCTCGGTTCCTGATTAGAAGACACAGGTCCCTGCCACCAAGGTCTCCGCCTGCAAGGCACAGAACGCCTGAGTCATGACACCGATCCCTGTATCCATGGTACTGTCTGGCTTCCCACCGGAGTTTGCCATGGTGCAGATCTCTATCGCGTAGAGTTCATTGGAGTTCATAGAGTTCATTGGAACGGTCCTTGACTCTACTCAGGCCAGAGCCTTCCTCCCGAAGCTTGGTTCCAAGCCATGGTGGACCTGATCTCGTGCATGCAAGCCCACCCTCTCACCACCACTCACACGTGGCTATGATTGTTGGGCCACATGGCGGCCTGCACTTACTTGGTCTAGCACATATGGCTCCACTTCAGGCTCGTGCAGGCATGGCTGGTGTTGGTCTATGTCCCCAACAGACACAGTGTGGACCATTTGGTCAGGGTCCCGGACCACGTACTGTCATCACTCGCATGGTGACGGAATCCTGCATCGGTGTTGGAGGAGGTTCCCTGCGTGGCTCCATCCCAATCCGTGACCCTCATCTCCGATGCCTCAGACCTGGGGTGGGAAGCCCACTTGGGCGATCTCAGCACGCAAGGTCGTTGGTCGAGTCACAATCGCTCCCTACACATCAACCTCAGGGAGCTCAGAGCGGTTCGCCTGGCCTGTCAAGCCTTCCTACCTCACATAAAAAGCAAGGTGGTCCAGGTCCTAACGGACAATACAGCGACTATTTTCTATATCAACAAGCAAGGCAGGGACAGGTTGTCTGCCCTTTCCCAGGAAGCCCTCAGGGTCTGGGACTTCTGTGTATAACACGACATCCATCTTGTAGCCTCACACCTCCCCGAGGCCCAGGAATGCTTTGACAGATCGCCTCAGCAGGACTTTCTCGTCTCGCCATGAGTGGTCCCTCCATCCAGAAGTGGCCAGCTTCATCTTCCAGAGGTGGGGAACGCCCCAGGTGGACCTGTTCGCGTCCAGGCAGAACAGGAAATGCCATGTTTTCTGCTCGATTTGGGAGATCAACAGAGGCTCCCTGTCGGATGCTTTTCTGCTCCCATGGTCGGGAGCTCTGTTATATGCCTTCCCTCCGGTGCCACTGATTTACAGAGTCCTCGTCAAAATCAAGCAGGACAGGATGAAGGTGATCCTCATAGTGCCGGCTTGACCAGCACTGGTCACGCTGCTGGACCTCTCGTTGGCTGGTCCATTACAGCTGCTACTCAGGCCAGACCTGCTGTCCCAAAACCACGGCAATCTTCCGCATCTGAACCTGATGGCGCTGCACCTGACAGCTTGGCTGCTGCATGGTTAAATGCAGAGGAGCCAGATTGCTCGGCCTCTGTCCAGCAGGTTCTGTTGGGCAGCAGAAAGCCCTCCACCAGAGCGACTTACCTGGCCAAATGGAAGTGGTTCACTTATTGGACCTTGGCTAAAGGCATTCGGCCTGAGTGTGTCTCGCTGCAGTTGATCATGGACTACCTTCTGCATCTCAAGTGCCAAGGCCCATCCCTTTCATCTGTCAAGGTCCACTTGGCCGCTATTTTGGCCTTCTGTCTGCTGCTTGAGGGTAGGTCGGTTTTTGCCCGGGATATGACTGCCAGGTTCCTCGAGTGCCTCTACTCATACGTCAGGGACCCTGTTCTGCCATGGGACCTGAATCTTGTGCTGTCACGGCTCACGGGACCCTCCTTCAGGCCTCTGGCTTCCTGCTCTCTCCTTCTCCTGTCCTGGAAGATCGTGTTCCTAGTTGTGATAGCCTCCATCTGCCGGGTCTCCGAGATTAGAGTGCTTACCTCGGAACCACCCTATACAGTCTTCTACAAAGACAAGGTCCAGCTGCGGCCACACCTGGCTTTCCTGCCCAAGGTGGTCTCGCAGTTTCATATGGGCCAGGACATTTACCTACCTGTCTTTTCCAAAGCTGCATAAGTCGGAGGAGGAGTGTAGATTGCATTCTCTAGATGACAGGAGGGTGCTAGCCTTCTACATTGAAAGGACCAAGCCATTCCGCAAATCGACGCAATTCATCGCAGTGGCTGACATGATGAAAGGTCGTCCAATGTCCGCTCAAAGAATTTCTTTTTGGATCACTGCCTGCATTTGCTGCTGTTACGATCAGGAGATGGAGCCACCTTGGGTGATTGTCACTGCCCACTCAACCAGGGTGCAAGCCTCTTTGGCAGTTTTCCTAGCCCAAGTGCCTATCCAGGACATCTGTAGGGCGGCCAGCTGGCCGTCCATCCGTCCACATGTTCACGTCCCGTTATGCACTTACCCAGCAGGCCCGGAACGATGCTGGCTTCAGTAGAGCAGTACTGCAAGCTGCTAAATTGTGAGCTCCAAGCCCACCTCCGAGAATACTGCTTGTGAGTCACCTAGAATGGAATTGACATGAGCAAGCACTCAAAGAAAAAATGGTTACCTACATTTTCATAACTGTTCTTCGAGCTGTGTTGCTCATGTCCATTCCATTACCCACCCTTCTGCTCCTCTGTCGGAGTTGCCGGTAAGAAGAAACTGAGAAGATGTAGGGTCGGCAGCGCCTAATATACTAGTGCATGATCGCGGCACTCAAGAGGGGGCTACAGCCGACCCTATGGGTACCGCTAAGGCAAAAATCTCCAATGACTCTGCATGTGGACACGCACACACCTAGAATGGAATGGACATGAGCAACACATCTCAAAGAACAACTGTTACGAAAAGGTAGGTAACCGTTTTTTTAAGGTTTTAATGCCTCCATCATACATGAAAGATATGCATGTGCTGGTTGTAAGGTCAGTTAAGGACTGAGGTAAAATTGTTGGATGACTGTAACTGTGCATTTCTGTATTTCCTTGTGTGAGGCTTTTTTCTTTAAGTGTAATTTTAACTTTGTCTTTTCCTAAAGAATGAAAATTCCAAAATTTTTTTTTTGCCTTTTCAGAACACTGGCTTTGGTTAAACCTGATGCAGTGCCCAAGATTGGAGAACTAATTGATATCATCATTAATACTGGGTTTACAATAACTAAAGCCAAAATGATGGTACTTTCACGGTAAGGCTCTATTAACGTTCCCTGTAGGATTTGATTATTTTGTACTGAAGTGTATCCTCACAGTTATTCCATGTTATTCAGAACATTCCATCTATTCCACTGAGTAGCAAAGAGAATAATGTTTCATAATCAGATCTAGGTTTCTCATATGATGCCTAATTCAGGATGTTTGTTGGGCTTAGCCTGCAGCAGAGCCTGTCTCCTGGCAATCCAGTGAATACAGCTGGCTCTGATAGAAGCTGTCTGATTGAGCCATCTGATTGACTGAAGGAATGAACAGGCTGATACTTATGCTCAGTAGCAGTTCAGCTGCTGCTCAACGCATTCTTAGCCCATAGCTGTGTTTGGTCCTGCCCTTGCCCCCACTTCCTCTAGCTTGGTTCCTGCTCCAGCCTCAGGCTGCTCCTGTTCCACCCCCCAACTCCTTTTGACTTCTGATTCCCAGCTCAGATCCTCGACTCCACCTTCTGTCTGTAAATCCGATTGACCCTTAGGCTTTGGACTCTAACGCCTGCCTGTGGTCCTTCACTTCGCATCTGGATTCAGCTCAAACTGGTATGCCAAAGTCATGCTCCAGCCATTAGGCCATCCTGCCCACAACTCGCTCACTGATAGTTTGAGGAACCCAAAAGATTGAACAAGGGCGGGTAAGATGGATTCCTCAGAGGCAGCCATGCCCCTGCAGGACATTTTGGGAATCCAGCAGCCCCTACGGTCCCAGGTTATGGTCTTGCAGTACAAACTGCAGCGCTACAGGCTCAAGCTGTCCCACCTGTATCTGCTGCCCTGGCTTCTAGGGAGTTGGAGATTTTAATGCAGGATAAGTTTGATGGGGACCATAACAAATTCCGTGGTTTCATGAGCTAGTGCTGGCTCCTGTTCCTGCATTGGCCCCAGTCATTCTCCACTGACCAGACCCAAGTAGGACTTATTATTAGTCTGCTAACCAGGGAGGCCCTGGTCTGGGCATCTCCCCTCCTGGAGACTTCTACCCCCATAATGGGACAGTTCGAAGAGTTCCATGTGTCCCTTCTGAAACCGTATGTGGAGTATCCCTTTCCCAGCCACTCTGCTCCATCACCACCTCCCACAGATGCCCAGGCCAAAAGGAGCACGAGGTCTGGGAAATCCAAGATTCCGATAGAATGTGAGGCAAACTCAGACCCTTGGCTCCATCTTTTGACTGTCACTCCAGTTGACCAGCTTAGGCTTTAGTCTCTGACTCCTTGCTATGACCCTGGGCTTTGCTCCTGGAACCACCCGCTCTGGATTCAGCTCTAACTGGTAGGCCAGACTCTTCATCCAATGATTAGGCCAGACTGCCCATGACTCAGTCGCTGACAATGTCTGAGTAATACAAAAATGTTGTATACAAATGTCATTGGTCTTACTGTAAGTAAATATAGTGTATGCCTTTTATAAAACTGAAATCAATATCATGGATTTAAAGCTCAGATAATGTTTCTTTGCCCCTGCCCTGAATTGCTTGACTTCATAATGCAAACTGAACTGATGATTGTTGTATAATTCTATAGAGGTGGTTGGGTTATTGCCTTGCAATAAATCCACATTCTTAAAATCATAGGACTGGAAGGGACCTCAACCTTAACCACCCTGACAGATAGGAAGTTTTTCCTAATGTCCAACCTAAACCACCCTTGCTGCAATTTAAACCCATTGCTGCTTGTCCTATCCTCAGAGGCTAACAAGAACAATTTACCTCCCTCCCTCCTTGTAACAATCTTTTATGTACTTGAAAACTGTTATCATGTGCCTCTTCAGTCTTCTCTTCTCCAGCCGAAACAAGCCCAATTTTTTCAATCTTCCCATAGGTCGTGTTTTCTAGTCCTTTAATCATTTTTGTTGTTCTCCTCTGGACTTTCTCGTTTGTCCACATTCTTCCTGAAATGTGGCACCCAGAACTGAACACAATACTCCAGTTGAGGCCTAATCAGCACAGAGTGGAGTAGAAGAATTACTTCTCATGTTTTGCTTACAACTCTCCTGCTAATGCATCCCAGAATGATGTTTGGTTTTTTTTGCAGCAGTGTTACACTGTTGGCTCATATTTAGCTTGTGATCCACTATGACCCCAGATCCCTTTCTACAGTATTCCTTCCTGGGCAGTCATTTCCCACTTTGTATGTGTGCAACTGATTGTTCCTTCCTAAGTAGAGTACTTTGGATTTGTTCTTATTGAATTTCATCCTATTTATTTCAGACCATTTCTCCAGTTTGTCCAGATCATTTTGAATTTTAATCCTATCCTCCAAAGCACTTGCAACTCCCAGCTTGGTATCGTCCTCGAAGTGTATTCTCTATGCCATTATCTAAATCATTGATGAAGATATTGAACAGATCCGGACCCAGAACTGATCCCTCTGGCACCCCACTCAATATGCCCTTCCAGCATGACTGTGAACCACTATTGATTACTCTCTGGGAATGGTTTTCCAACCAATTATGCACCCACTTTGTAGTAGTTCCATCTAGGTTGTATTTTCCTACTTTGTTTATAAGAAGGTCATACTAAAGTCGATATAAAGTCAAGATTTGGCTCTAGGATCACAGAGCCCTGCTCCCCGGACACACCACAACCTGTTGGGCATGAGTAAGGACAGGGCCAGGGCCAGCCCATGCGTGGATTTTGAACCCCCTACCTTGTGTCCCCCCATGTTCCTGAGCAGCAAAATTTGGTAACGAGGGCATGCTGGGGAAAGAAGAAAGGAAGAGTTGGTAGATCTCCCATGAAGGATTTCCCCAAAGTCACTGCACTGCTCCTCAGCTGTGGCTATGTCAGACCTCTCTACTCAACGTCTCTGAGAGGAAAAATCATTCTCACAGGATTCTTACTCTTGCATCTTGTGGTTCCAGTACAAGACAAAGGGAGGTATTCCTTTATCTTTTCTGTCCTCTGAGGTAGTGGTAGAACAGTGCTAGACCACCCCTTCAGTAGTCACATATTGCTGTCTGTGACTATTCCAGTCCCCAGAACCTGCTACACAGTTCCAGTTCTTGAGTGCAGCCCTCTCATCCCTGCAGTCTTCTCTTAATATGAACCATTTTGTGGCCTGACTTAACTTCTGCTGTCTTGGTGCGTTGCTCCTGGAGCACTGGGTGCTTCCTTGTTTTTATATGTCTGTTTCTCTGTTGAACCACTTTATATATTTTGGATTTTACTTACCTTGAGGAAAAGAAATCCAAACAGTTTATATAAGATGTAAATTTTTATTACCTTTTGTTTAGAAAAGTCCCTTGCCTGCCCTGCAAAATGAAATATTATTATTAACGAACCCATAATTGGACAGTGATGTGGGATGAATCTAAAATGGTGGCTGGGTATTTGTGGTTTTCACAGGACCCTGTACTTTTGTCTCTTGGACTTGCACCATATTTTTAGTGATAGCCTATAGTAATGCCAAAGTCCTAATCCCAAATATCCCTCTAGGTTGGCTTGTCCAGATCAGCTTCTGCTTTTTTTAATTAATTTATTTTTTTTTACTGCTGACATTTGCCTGGCAGACCCTGTTAACTTGAGTCACACCTTTTGTAAAACCCATTGCTTCGATATGAAAGCAAGGGCAGACGCCTGCTTCCATATGTCAGTTCTCCAGTCTCTTCAGCTAATCACTTCTCAAATCAGCTCATTGTCCAAGATGAATGCAACTTTCCATGTTCTACAAGTGGGGATCTGCTGACAGAGAATGGGAACTAGGGTTACAGCTAGCAAGATTGTCTTTATATTTAATGCCATAGGAGATTTTTGACTAAGCAGTAGGGCTGAGCAAATATTTTTGAAAAAATATCCACAAATATTTGTTCAGATTTATACATTATGTAGCTTAGACTGAGTTCATGCCCCCATTCTGTACACTTTCCATGAATATTCTAGTGAATTAGCTTATTGGTAGGAATTATTGCTGAAATAGGGAATTTTAAGCAAATATTTAGAAAATTTGTGGAAAGTAGTTTTTGATTTGACATAATGAGTATTCACATGAAAAGCTTCCTTCTGAAAGCGTCACTCCTCCAATCAATAAATAGAAACATACCACAAGACCTGTCCAATTAAAATGGCTCAAATTTTGAATGTCAGATACTTGCAGTTGAAAAGCAACACATTTAGAACTACTGGAAGGATATACTCTTCTACAGATTAGTTACATGTTGTGTAACTCATTCCTACAAGATTCCATACAAGCCATGAGCTTAGTAGAATTCGAAAGAGGACCCAGAGGATTATCAATTTTTCTGGGTAAAAGGAATATTCAGAGTTGCACTTGTTATGATAAAAATGTATCAGGTATATTAACCCTGATGCTTTAGGGTATAAGCCACCCACAAACTACCTGGTATTGGGAGAAACTTCCCACTTAGGCACATTAATGAATAATTATACATTAATGATTCATGCAAGGTTTTTTAAAAATCTTTTCTAGGAAAGAAGCAATGGATCTCCACGTAGACCATCAATCAAAGCCCTTTTACAAGTAAGTACATACTTTTGAGGTTATGTTCATTTACTGTACAGGAAAAGATTGTCCTGGAGAACTTTCTTTACAGTGCATGGCATTCATTTCACATGCCTGTGACACTACAAGAATGTGGCAAAACCAGAACTGGGCTTAAGTTTCAAGGGAGCCTATGCAAAGTTTTGTGTGGGGACCCCATCCATCTTCCTCCTAAGATGGACCTAGCTGTCCGGTGCCTAGTTCCACAATCCTATGCCCCATCGAGCGCCAATGAATGCATCCACCCTATGAGATGTGAAAAGGACCCTAGCTAAAAAGAAGCACGAGAGGGAGACTCTCCGGATACAGAATATGGCTTGCAATCAGTGAGAATTGCAGAGTACCATCCAGTCCTGGATACCCTTCTGGTAGCAAATACGCAAAAGCACAAGTATTTCAAAAATTGTGGCACCTGGGGCACATGTCTTATGTATGGCTGATCCTGGACAAGATACAGAACTCTGTGTAAAAAGAACGAGGAGTACTTTTGGCACCTTAGAGACTAACAAATTTATTTGAGCATAAGCTTTTGTGAGCTAAAACCTGTGTGTGGCTCTGCTGTTTCGTATTGCATGAAACTATGAAATACTTGATCTCTCTAGAAACACTGGATGAAAATATTTATATATTTGTGTGTATGTAGCTGTATAAAATCTTTTTCAGTTTCCTCATGCATCAAGTTTAATTAGGGTGCATAATGGATAAATGCTATTTGTTATTTACATGTAGGCTTTATCCGATTAGCAAAGACGGTGGGGTAGCTAATCTATTCCTGAGTCTGGACCCAGGTTAACAGCTTTTATCACAGTGTAGTTGGTCAAGGCCAACCCTAGTTAGGGCTTGTCTACACTGCCACTTACAGCGCTGAAACTTTCCTCGCTCAGGGGTGTGAAAAAACAGTTCCCTGAGCGATGCAAGTTTCAGCGCTGTAAAGAGGCAGTGTAGACAGTGCACCAGCGCTGGGAGCTATTCCTCTCGTGGAGGTGGTTTTTTTCCAGCACTGGGACAGCTCTCTCCCAGTGCTGGAACTGCGACTACACAGCTACGTTAAAGTACTGCGTGACAGCGCTTTAACGTCAGCTGTGTAGACATACTTACGTTTTTGGTCATGCAGAACAAGAAATTGCAACTGACAGAGAGCCAAGTGCAGCACTGTTGTGAGGTTCCTGAGCATTGGGAATATAGTAATTGCCACCTAATTCTAGGAGCAGCAATTGGTTTGTGTAGGTGCAGGTTGTTTCCTTCTGTCCACTGTAGAGAAATGACCCTAGGAAATGTCAGACTATAGCAGGGGTCAGCAATGTTTCAGAAGTGGTGTGCCGAGTCTTCATTTATTCACTCTAATTTAAGGTTTTGTGTGCCAGTAATACATCTTCATGTTTTTAGAAGGTCTCTTTCTATAAGTCTATAATATATAACTAAACTATTGTTGTATGTAAAGTAAATAAGGTTTTTAAAATGTTTAAGAAGCTTCATTTAAAATTAAATTAAAATGCAGAGCCCCCCGGACCGGTAGCCAGGACCCGAGCAGTGTGAGTGCCACTGAAAATCAGCTCGCGTGCCGCCTTTGGCACGCATGCCATAGGTTGCCTACCCCTGGACTATAGTATAGATCCTAGGAAAACAAAGAGTTGTCATTTTTTCTTTGCTAAGTAAGTCTGCTTGAATAAATTTATAAATGAAGAAGAGTTCTGTCTGCAGTGTTATTTCATGGATTGCTAAACTAACGGCCGGCTGAGAAACTGTAAGCCCTCTATTCACTATGATGTACTCTGTCTGCCATCCAGAGATACCTGATATCTGTTGTATGGGATTTTGCTATAGTAAGTGAACCGAAAAAGTATCCTCACGCTGATAAAATTTAAATTCTCATACCCAATTACATATAGCATTTTATTAGAGGTTTATTATGGTGTTTCATAAACAGGACTTTCAGATTTAATTGGCAAGATCGGTAGTTAATGAAAGTTTACTGAATAGCAGGAAAAAGTAGCTATTAACTTTTTGGGGATTAAATGTTAAATTTCATATTTTACATATGCATTAATGTAAATAGCTTGCGCAGCAGTTATTTTTAAGAAATAAGGAGCATTTCAGAAATTATTTTTGTCCCTGTGTCTGTATTTGTCTATAAGCCATAAAAAAGTAACCTTAACAATAACTGAATAAAAAAAAATCTCGCACAACTTTTTCATTCATTGTGCAGCATCCAGCCTTCAAACTGAATGAGGTGGGTTGCTGCTGAGATGATAGTATGTGACTGTATCAGAGGGGTAGCTGTGTTAGTCTGAATCTGTAAAAAGCAACAGAGGGTCCTGTGGCACCTTTAAGACTAACAGAAGTATTGGGAGCATAAGCTTTCGTGGGTAAGAACCTCACTTCTTCAGATGCAAGTAACTGTAACTGAAAGCTATATCATGATGAATATGTTCATGGGAGCAGAATTAAGGTTACATGTATTCAAAGTTAACTTTGGGATTTCCTGGTTTTTGAGTCTTTAACCATGCATTCCTTATGTTTTCCTCACATCACCTTCTCTTTATTCAAATCTTTCCCCAATATCTGATGACTTCCATGATACCAAGAAATTGTGAGTTTGCAATACAAAAAGTAACAAACAACTTTCTTTTCCCTGCTCTGTATTTCCCATTATATAGTGACTTCTCAGTCTGTCTGTTTCAATGGAAAGACTGCAGCAGACTGCAAGGAAGGGATTGTCTTTATCTCTGTGGCTTGTACAGCACTGCCTGTGCTAAACAAATAAGAAATTAGTGTTATAAAATTACATACAGTATATTTTCGTCTTATCTTACTTTTTCCCTTATTCACACATTATTAGCAAGGCTAATAGGGGCCTCTTTCACTAGAATTCAGTTTCCCATTTCAGTGAGGGGCAGAGATTAGAGTCCCCTCCATGTCTCATGGGGAAGAAGCACATGGTGGAGTGAATATTTTGAGGCGACACACATGTTTGATGCAAGGCCTCTCACAGATGTGAGGGAGCATGCACAGATTGAGTGTGTGTCCCTCTGTGAGAGAGAGAAGCTAATTGGAGAGGATTGCAAGTACTGGATAAGAGGATTTAGAGGTGAATGAAGAAGGCAGAGGTCTTGTTGAGATGAGTTCCTGTCTGCATCCTGTAAAACTTGCCCATACCGGTATTGCCCTGGCCTCTTCTTTTGTCATTCAGTGTTGCACGCATTCTAAAGCAATATGCATTTCCTCACCTTTTGGGGGCGAAGCCAGACTTTGAGGCACCTGCTCCCCTACTTGGTGTAAACTTTGCTTGTGCCAATCAGAAACGAACACAAACAGGTTTTGGGCCCCGTCCCCTATGACACTTCTATGATGTCATAGTTGGTACTTTATGGGCTGCCTGCCATGTGCAGGCAGGGAGAGGAGAAAGAAAAACGAATCCTGTGTATCCTGTGTACACCCGTAACCGAGCCTGATCACCTCGAAGCCTCTCTCTCAGCTCACGTGTTTCAAACAGAGTTTCTACGTTTGCCGGTCGTTATGCGTTGGTTTGTGTTTGTAAGTATCAGTTATTACTAATTGCTGCATCTTTGTTTATAAATATTGTTAGTAGATATTTTAGTCATTGTGTGTTTTAAGTTTCATTAACTCTATTAGCTAATCAAACGCTGCTCCCTTACCCCTTGTAATTATCCCCAATAAAACTTTAAATTGATTAATTTTAGTTGTGTGTGTGTGTGTGTCTGCAGTTTGCAGCGTGACCCATACTCTCCTTGCATCCCTTACCAATATAGTCTATTGCCACGTGCAGCCTGGTAAATAACAGGCCTGCATTTTCTTTCGCCCCTGCGTGCCCGTGGCAATCCACATGGCGTCACGAACAGGATGCAAGGGAGTTGGGCCATGCCCGTGGCACGCTGCAGACCGCGCAGATGATGAAACTGAACAGTTCCAACATTTGCAGTTTCACCTTTTTACTAGCCAAAATTCGACTGATCCAAAAATAGAATGGATCTGTTCCCTTGGCTCGGGTAAGGATTGCAAGTACTGGATAAGAGGATTTAGAGGTGAATGAAGAAGGCAGAGGTCTCTAATAGGAGTGTTCATGTTGCCTTAATGAGGAAAAATGTACAGGCTGAGTAGAGTCTGTTAGATGGGCACCAATGTGTCTACAATGTGGAAGGAGCATTGAGCACAAGTGGAAAGAAGGAATGGCTCACCCGTGGTTTTTTGCCTCCATTTCCCCTGCCTTATCCTACCCAGTATTCCTCCAGAGCCTGGTGTTACACACCGTCATGTGTGATAATTTGTGCTGTGGACTGTTATCCTTTCCTATGACACTAGTGAGAGTTGAGAACCGGTCCATAGATTTTGTTGTTCTCTGTATAGTGAATTCCCTGCCTGCTCTATGTCTGTTTTGCAGTGAGCTTCTCCAGTTTATTACGAGTGGTCCTGCTGTTGCCATGGAGATTTTAGGAGATGATGCTGTGTCTGAATGGAAAAAGTTACTGGGACCTGCAAACTCTGGCGTGGCTCGTTCTGATGCCCCGGGCAGCATTAGAGCAATGTTTGGAACAGATGGCATAAGAAATGCAGCTCATGGCCCTGACTCTTTTGCTTCTGCTGCTCGAGTAAGTTTTTAAATATATTTATTCATTATGTTCATTTGCTAAGCTGTATTTTTACTTAATCTGATGATCAGGCTGCAATCAGTACAGAAATCCCATTTATTTTTTTCATTTGAATTTAGTGCTGATTTAAATGTTCTTCAGTGACACGTTTGTAGACAGAGTCTTTATCCACAGTGCAAATAGCAACTGTGCAAGCTATACTGCCTATATACTTCCACCCCGGCCTGGAGGGACTAACCTTAAAAAATGTGGCCAAGGACACTGAGACTAACCCATCTGCCACATTCTGTACCACTTTCTGGCAGAATTCGATTATTATTTTTTTATAATTTCAGCAGATATTGAGGTTTGTAAGATTTTTTTTTTTTTAAGATTTTTATCTATTTAAATGTTCACAGCTGCAGGAAATTATGGGGAGGCAGTCAGGTAATTCTTTAATGACAGTAGACATTGAGATTCAAAAGGTTAAAGCTTTATAAACTGCAAAAACTCAAATTGTCAACATCACATGTCAAAATGGACAGAGTAAAATATCCTTACATGAACTAATACCTGCTCTTACTATTCATTCGTTAGTCCATTTGTAACAAGCCTGATTCAAAAATCTAAATCACTGGATTTGACCCATAAAGTCTTACTTTGTGTATATGTGTAAATTTTGATTATTACCAAAGAAAATATTTTTGTTGGTTTGTGTGTCTATGCTAAAATCAACATTTGCCAATTAAAATGTAATCCTTCCAAGCCTATATATAATACAGATGCTTTAACTTTGAGTTAATTATGTAGACTGCATGGCTTAGCAATGCAAATTCTAAAAAGCTAGGAAATAAGCAGTTAAATCATTCAACGCCCCATCAACGTTCCACTCATCCCTTCCCAACCATAATTACTTCCTTTCCGCCACCCACAGCCCACATATCTCAACCGTCATCCTGAACAATCAGCAGGCACCCTGGAATTCCAACCATGTTCAGAGCTTATAGTCCTGTGTTTTGATGGTTAATATGAGTAAGAGCTTTCATAAATTTCATCGTATGTGGCTTTGGACTGGTGTGTGTAAGTGAGGTAAAATATCATTTTACAATCAGTTTGCAATCTGTTTTTCTGTAATATTTAGGAAAAGCTGTAGGATTGGGTGACCGCTTATAAATATTTATGTAGAAGTTACAGAGTTGAAATTTGTGAGTGCATGGTGGTGTTACAGATGTGTGGTTGCATATTGATCAGTATGAGTGTGTGCTGTGAAGTGAAATAAATGGGGTGTTTGAATGACTTAACACAAACTGAAATACGCCAATAAATAGTTGTAGCTAAACAAGCTTAACTCAAAGTTAACAGAGGTTCTGTGTGGACATTTCCCATGTTTTAATAAGCTTGTATCAATGTTAGCAGTTAATCATGTAGATGGCTCTCCCCTTTATATCCCCCACAGATTCCCAGATTGTTACTCTTCTGTGCATATCCTGAATTGCCCCAGGCTTCACTTTGCATAACCCTGCTCATCCTTAACCATCCCCACTGCCAGCTTCACCACATGCTCCCCCATACTTTGTTCCCTAACATGCCCCTCTTCATTCCTACCATGCTCAGCTTTTAAAAGTTTATATGTATCAATATATACATATTGTTACATATTATCATTGGCAGATATAAACATTGCCAAAACTTAAAAATATTGACGTGTATGTGTTAGGGGAGTATAGGGGCATGCTTAAGGAGCAGGGCTCTGATAAGTGACACGTTGGGAGCTCTGGGTGCTATGGGGGAGCAAGTGTCTGAGGTGGGGTCTGGGTGGGAACTTGTGGGGGGGATGTGATGGGTTCGGTCACAGAAATCCCCTTAAGACTGTCACCTGATGTGCTGAAATTACCTCTGAGCCTGTTTTTCCTGCCAGCGTGGGACTTCCAGAACCCTGTCTTGTTGAGCCAGACACGCAACCTGCTGCAACACAGACTCAGGGTCTGGTCCATGCTCCCAAAGCTGCAGACTTAACTGAAAACAGCTCAGCAGGTCACCTGTCTCCAGCACCCAGACATCCAGTTCCCAATGGGATCCAAACCCCAGATAAATCTGTTTTATTCTGTATAAAGCTTATACAGGATAAATTCATAAATTAACACTGATAGAGAGATATGCACAGCTGTTTGCTCCCCCAGGTATTAATCACTTACTCTTGGTTTATTAATAAACAAAAGTGATTTTATGAAGTATAAAAAGTAGGATTTAAGTGGTTTCAAGTAACAACAGACAGAACAAAGTAGGTCACAAAGCAAAATAAAGCAAAAACACGCAAGTCTAAGCTTAATACATTAAGAAACTGATTACAGGTAAAATCTCACCCTCAGAGATGTTCCAATAAGCTTCTTTCACAGACTAGACTCCTTCCTAGTCTGGGCCCAATCCTTTCCCCTGGTACAGTCCTTGTTAGTTCCAGCAGACATCTCAGGTGGTAAGCAGGAGTTTTCTCATGACTGGCAGCCCCCTTTGTCCTGCTCCACACCCTTTTATAGCTTTGGCACAAGGCAGGGATCTTTTGTCTGTGGTTGGCCCCCACCCCTCCTTCTGAATGGAAAAGTACAAGATTTAAGATGGATTTCAGTATCGGGTGACATGGTCACATGTCCCTGTGAAACCTCATTCTTCATTACCAATGGGCTGGCCCACATGTAGACAGGAAGGCTTGCAGGTAAATAAACCCATTCACAGTTCATTGATTCTGAAGCACCGTTAATGGCTTCCACTTAATATGTTTACATCAGTAATACAAGTTTATATCTTATTTTTCTAACTAAAAATAAATTATTTTTCTATTTTTTTTAATACATGCAAACAAATAGGATAAACACACACAGTAGATTACAAGCTTTGTAATGATACCATACAAGGGGTATTCAACATAAAGCATATTCCAGTTATGTCATATTCATAAGCATATTTCCATAAAACACATGGAATGCAACGTCACCGGGGACATGGGGAAAATCTGTGGGATAGTGGCACTGTAAGGAGTCATGGTGAGTGAGCGGCACAGGGAAACTTGGGTTGCATATGATACGTTTGGAGGAGAAGTGGAATTTGGGCTGGAAGGGGCCTAGGAAAGGGAGTAGTGAGGCTGGGTGTTATGTTCTATGGTCCAATCCAGACAAGTCAGGGGTTGTGGCACCATCTGCCCTCTAGCCGTGGGTGCCTTAAATGTTCTGCTGCTGTGGCTCACAGCCTGGACACCAGCAGACAAGCATTCACTGAGTGTCTCTGTGTTAAGCAGCTCTGGTTCAGCAACTCTGATTTCAGCAGCCCGCTTTTTATACCCCAGCCACACTCTGGTATCCACCAGCCGTGGTTACTACTAGCCAAGTGACCCAACACACTCCCAGTCCCGAATTTTCCCAAAACTGTGTGCTCTGCAATGTCCAGCTCTTTCCTTGACCTTTCAGAGGAATAATAAGATTTGTTTACTCCTCTAAGGAGACAGAGTTCACAGCTTATTCCTTTAACTTGCGTTAACAATCACTTCAATCCAGACGCGATAAATCGATCCCCGAATCGACGCCCGTACTCCACCTCCGCAGGAGGAGTAAGCGGAGTCGATGGGGGAGCCGCAGCGGTCGACTTGCCGCCCTGAGGACGGCTAGGTACGTCGAACATTCACGTAGCTGAAGTTGCATACCTTAGATCGATCCCCCCCCAGTGTAGACCAGCCCTAATAAGCCCCTTGCCCTCTTGCATTGGGATGCTGTTAGGGTCACAGTGGTTATTCGTGCTCGTGGGTTGAGTCTGTAAGACTGAAAGATCCAGATGTCTTCACTTGGAAAAGTAAGAGTCAAAGTGTGGTCTGGTCTCTGCCTAAAACTTAGGTCGACCTAGCTATGTCACTTGGAGGTGTGAAAAATTCACTCTCCTGAGAGATGTAGTTAGGTCAACCTAAGCCCTGGTGTAGACTCCACTAGGTGGATGGAAGAATTTATGACTGTGACGGAAAAACCCCTTCCATCTCTGTAGCAAGTGTCTGTTATAATGGCGTAGCTGCAGTGCCGCAGCTGTGCTGCTGTAGCCCTTGTACTGTAACTATACCCTGTATTTCTGCTCTGGCATACCGCCAGCATAGCTGAATAGCAGCTTCTGAAGAAAAAGGCTGTGGGGAAAAAATATCTGTTAACACAGGATTTTAGTTAGAGAAATAAGTGTGTGTTTTCTGTTGATAAGATTGTTGCATTACTATACTTGCATTTAATTATTTTTAAAATGCTGCTTTTTGTAATATTATGGTAATTACTTTTGAAAGACTAGGTAATTTTTACTCGTCCTATGACTGTAAATGTTTAGCTCACTATTTTGGTAGACTTGCATATAAATTTATATATCTTTGTGGGTGGGTGGGTGGGTGGGGTTCTCTTTACCTTGTGAGTACTGGAGTTTATCTCTGACACAGCAATTGGGATTATGAATTTAATGGGCAGGTGCCATACAATGGTAGGTGGCTACATACCAGATGCCAACAAAATTAGTAGGGTGCAGCTTTTAGAAACTTTCCTGGGAGGAAAGAAAAGTCAGTTAAAGCATACTGGGAAAAATCTTTTGAAAGGGAAACAAAGGCCTTGGCTCGTTTGATGATGGTTGAATTGTCCTTCTCACAGAATGAATTTCAGATCAAGTTGAGGGTTTGTCTGCTAGGCTATCCAGAGATAACATCTCCATTTTTACAGGCCAAAGTTGGGGTAATCTTAGTTTAAGCATAAAGGTAGGGACGAGGTTCTTGTTTTTAGAATTCCACATAGTTTTAGTTTGGTATTCCTGTATCTGAAGTGTTGGTTCTTTTAGTCATTTCTCTTACTGTTCTTTCAGGAATCTGTTTTGTATATAGCCAGTTACAAGTGTTACACTTGTACATATTTTCTTATTTTGTGTTTTCCTGGTGTTGTGGGGACTGCTTTATTTATTTAAAGTCAATGGCAAGAGACCAGAGTAGAGTCTTTGAAACATGCTCTTCATTATCTATAAAAAGATCCAGATAGGTGTAAACACTTAAAATAAGGGTACATTTGGTAGCAGCAAAAACAGAAGTAATTTCTTCTTTTCTATTGAAAGAGCCCCTAAATTGCATTGTTTAGATAGGGATTACAAGCCATTACAGGGACAAGAGCTATGGAGTGGGAAAATCTAAATTCAGCTTAATTTCTTCTGAAACACAGTACTAAATAACTGAGGCCTTGTCTACACTACGGGGGGGGGGGGGGGGGGGAATCGATCTAAGTTACGCAAGTTCAGCTATGTGAATAACGTAGCTGAAGTTGACGTACTTAGACCTACTTACTGCGGGGTCCACGCTAAGCTATGTTGGCGGGAGCCACTCTCCCGTTGACTCCCCTTGCGCTTCTCATTCAGGTGGAGTACAGGAGTCGACGGGAGAGCGATCTGCGGTCAATGTAGCGGGTCTTCACTAGACCCACTAAATTGACCACCAATGCATCAATCGCCACGCATCAATCCCCCGGTAAGTGTAGACAAGCTCTGAGAGGGAACTCCAGGAGATAAGCTTTACCCCTGAGACTGTTATATAAGGAAAAATCGGATGAATATAGTGGTAACATCTCCAGGTTATTATTTCCTTTAAAAGGAAATTAATCAAATTCCCTTTTTTAAGTTGAATAACGCATCTTATTGGAGGCCATGTTCAGGGTGATTGGCTAATGTTCATTGGCAGGCTGTTCTGAGCACAGTGAATGAATAGCATGGAAGGAAGGCATGGAGTTGGCAGTGAGCAAAGGAAACAAAAGGAGCAATTGGAAAAGAGGCTTGATCAGAACATGTGTGACAAGATGTCAGGTTTGTAGGGCACTGCATTTTGGTGCAGAGCTATTCTGCTTACTCACTCTGGCAGCCAGAGCAGATGGGTCTCATTAGCTCACATTCAGGAACATAAAAGGTAGCGTCTTTAAGGCAAGAAAAGGGCTTAGAGAAGGCAGACAAGAAGTTCAGGCTAAAGTTTGTTGTTTGTTGTTAAGGATAATCCCAAGATGAGTGGGAAGGAGGTCTGTTTGGACTCTAGCCTTGTGTCTCTGTGTGCCGTATTGAGAACTGAGTGGGGATTCCAACCATTCCCACAGGCACAGGGATGGAATGTGGGAGGTGAGGAGATGAGATCAGCGATATAAATAAGAGAGAGGATTTATGGAGTAATTTTATGGTGAGAGTGAAAAAGCTTGACCTGAATGCAGAAAACTAGGAAGAGCCGATTTGGGAGAGGAGATTATGGCAGCAACATTTTGAACAGACTGAATGCGAATAGATGGAAGTGGGAAAGTGAAGAAATACTTACAGCAGCCAAGGTGGGAGATACCTAGGGCATGGCTAATCATTGTATCAATGGTGCTAGAGAGAGAAGTATAAATATAGGTGTTCTTATAGCAGTATATAAACAAATGAGGCTGTGGATATCACAAAACAATACTGTGTGTGCTAAAGATCTGAGACATGCAACTGTTTAACACTAAAATATTTTCAATTTCAATTATACCCCCAGGAGCTGGAGTTGTTCTTTCCCTCAAGTGGAGGTCGTGGTCCAGCCAATAGTGCAAAATTTACAAACTGTACTTGTTGCATTATTAAGCCTCATGCTGTTAATGAAGGTGAGTAACATGGGCCTGATCACACTGACATTACTAATTTGGGGGAATAAAAATTTGCAGAGTCAGGATGTATATTTCACTACTGGCTCGGAAGTGCTGTATAGCACAATCGCGGCCTTTTAGATGGTTTACTGCTGTGATTTCTGTCCTCAAAGAGAAAATTATGTACTTTTGTTTGGATAAATTATATTTCAGAATAAGGAAAACCAAATACAAATTTCCATGAAAGAGTGTCACTCACTCTATAACAGCCATCTCAAATTGCCTAAAAGTCTTCACCAGAGGCGAAGGGTGCATTACACAGGAAACAGATTTACAACATTTCTCCTATATCTGCTTATCTACATATACCATAGTTATGTCTACACTTCTTCCACTGTTTGTTTTTTATACTTTAATGGGAGTAGTTAGGAAATTTGAATCCTATGGCAGAAGATGTAGCCCCTGTTGAACAAAAAATACTTTAAGTTGTTGTTCTTTGTGGCTCAATGCAAGCACATTGTGCCATCTGTGTTGGGGAATGCTATGTCCTTTCATCGTATGCTTATTAGAAAAGCTTGATGTCCACACATAACCACAGATAGACAATTCCACATCATTCCCTAGCCTTCAGATGCAGGTGCACAAATAGGAGCAATGTTTATAGTGTAATAATGCAGTGTTTTGGCTCTAAGGTCTAAATATATTTGTGTGAAGAATTAATATGTGGGATATAGCAGAGATTTTTCCCAAGCCGTCTGCAGGGCACTGCAGCGTTTTAGGTACCTCCTTTGTGAAAGTTGAAGTGGAAGCAGAGGAGGGGGCAGTAGTGGTCTCCAGGTCTCTCACTCCTCAAGTGGGATAGCTGGAGAGCTTGCTGCAAACAATGGCTTTCCCAGGGAAAGATCTTGAACTTGCTGCTGCTAACTTCTTGTCCTTTATCTCTGTGAGGCCTTGCATAATATCTGCTATTGAAAGCTTTGCTGTGCAGCCAAGACAGAGTGATTTGGCACCAGCAGCAGCCTGGGATTTGATCATAGACAAGTTGGCACATTTACTATGGTAAATGTTTTGATGAGGATGAAAAAAGTAGATGGCAAAATTGTCAGACACCTGAAATTGAGTTTGAAATTACAAAATGAAGAGCCTGAGCTGGAAATTTTAACTTTAATGCACAACTGTTATTTACCTAAAGTGGTTCAAAACTATCTTTTAATGAGACATCAGGAGTCCCTTTCCCCTTTTCAGTCCTCTTTTCACTTTCTGCATCTCTTTCATAAATCCCCGCCCAGGTCCTTTTGCCCTCTTTCTCATTCTCCTCCAGGCCTTTCTCTGTCACGACTGGACAGATCTTGCCCCCATTTTCACCAATGTACAGGGCTCCATAAGCACTAGAATTGGGGTGGTTCCACTGGGTGTGGGTGGCAGGGAGGTATTTTTGGGGTTGTACAGGATGAGTGTGCACTTTTGTGTGAGGTGGAACCCACCTTTGCAGCCAGAAAGATACAAGGATTAGGCTAGGGTTGAGCCAGAAGATCCATTCAACTTCTTTAGTCCTTTCCTTCCCACCATGAATGGTTGGTAAGGCAGAAGCACAGCTGCTACACAGCTAAATTGAACAGCCTAAGGATATCTTCTCTGTGACTTCTCACCCATCCCTATGCCCTGGATTAGATAAATGGAATTACTTTATTTTAAACTAGGAAAACATATGAGAATGGTGGGATTCAATAACTATCTCCTTTGGAGCCTAAGTAGTCTCTCCATTTCCTCTCTGTTCTCTCCAATGTCAGTTATAGTGGTGCAAAAACCATAGATACTACAGCCTAGAAAGTCATGAGATTTTAGAGGCAGGTTTGGGAAACCATCCAGAAGTTTAGGATTAGGCAGGAATTTGGACACGGAGGAGAGATGAGTTGCTCGTGCCATGGTCGCCTTATACCTTTTAGTTTGGAATAGCTGAGGTAAAGCAAGTCTGCTTCTATTGTGCAGCCTGAGAAGGAAGGAATCTTTCCCCACATGGCCCACGGGAACTCATCTGTGCTCAGCCCACTTAACTGGGCCCATAGATGACTCGTGCCTCCTGATAGTGAGGGACTGTAGCGAGGCGGTGGGGCACCCCACAGCCCCGCGGAGGGACGATCCTCCCCTAGCACCAACATGGGCGGAGCCAGTGGATCCTGCGCCCGTGCCCCAGAGGTCACGGCGCAGGACAGGAAGTAGAAAAGCCCAACTGCAGAGCTCACTTGAACACCAGCCGCCGGAGAGGCCAGATGCCTGTGGCCTAGCTCCGGGTTGGGGAACGCCGGCAGGCTGTGGCCGACCCGAGGACTGGCCGGGCCAGCCAAGCCTACCCCTCGCCAGCTACCCCGAGGAGCAGCCGGGCCGGCCTCTCACCAGCTACCCCGAGGAGCAGCCGAGCCTGCCTCTCGCCAGGTACCCCAAGGAGCAGCCGGGCCTGCCTTTTGCCAACTACCCTGAGGAGCAGCCGAGCCTACCCCTCGCCAGTTACCCGGAGGAACCGATGGTCCTGGAAACCTCCGAGGACACTGCCCTAATCCAGGTACCGTACGTGGGGGAGTCCGGAAGTAGCCCGGGGGCAGCCGACCCTGGTCTAGCTGCAGCACTGCCAGAACCAATGTCAGTGTGTTGCGGTCAGGATCCCCACTGACAGCAGCGAGTCTTCTGCCGCCGCTAGGGCCCCGGGCTGGGACGCAGTGGAGTGGGTGAGCCTGCGTCCCCCCTGCCACCCCACTCACGGGTGGCAGTCTCCCCCCCGCACCAGATGCTCAGCCCCTGCCTAAGGGCCTGAGCTCCTGACTGTTTGTTTGTTGCCCCGCCCAGACCCAGGGCCTGGGCCCATAGCGAACTATTGCGAGGCGGTGAGATACCCCACAGCCCCGCGGAGGGACGAGCCTCGGCCGGGCCCCTTTACAGGGACACAATCTAAAGAGGAGGACATGTGACCGCTCCACATGTCTCTGTCCAATGACCCCCTGCGCCCAGCCCGGGGCCACCGCACTCTCCCTACCCCACCACAGTTACTTGTGGGGGGAGGTGCTCTGTCCTTCTCCCGCTGTGCCTCCACACTGGCCCATTCGGCTGCTCTCCCTGGCAGTTGGGCCTGGGCAGGGAATGAGACGGAGCCACTTCTCACATGCTGAAGCTGGCTGCTCTGGGTCGCTGACTCTGTGCAGTGCAGTGGCTCCCTGAGAGAGAGCCTGGCTGGGGAGGTGGCGGCGATGGGCTTCCCCGCATCCAGGCCCGACTGCCAGGGTTAGGGGCCAAGCGAGCTGCAGTCCCTTCTCCCATCAGCATGTTTCCAGCTCGCTCAGCCCCTGTTCCTGGCAGCTGGGCTCAGATGTGGGGGCGGCCCGCCACCACCACCTCCCCAGCCAGGCTCTATCTCAGGCAGCTGCTGCGCCCTGAAGCAGCCAGGATGAGAAATGGCTGGTCCCACCCCTTCTGCTCCCCACCTGGGCCCGGCTGTCAGGGGGCAGGCACAGTGGGAGAAGAACAGAGCCCCTCGCCCTTCCCTCGGCAGGCCAAGCAGAAATCTCCGGGGGGGAATTTTGACCCTGCATGCCCCCCTATGTGTTGCCTATGACTGGCCCTGTGATGGGCTGGACCCCCTGGGATGTCACCTGGTGTGCTGGGACACCAGTGAGTCAGACTATTCTGCCAGCCTGGGCCCCCTTTACCTGGTCTTGCTGGGTTAGGCTCCCCAGCCTTTTCCAGCCAAGCACACAGGCAGGGCCACACCCAGCTGCACAGAGAGAAAGAGATCCGCTCTGAGAGGGCTCATCTTAAGGGGCTTGCCACAGCACCCAGATGTCCACCCCCCCTTGGAGTACAAACCCCAAATTATATGAAATTCGCCTCTTCCCTCGATGTGGAGGAGAGTATGCACACCTTCTTGCCACCCCCCTCCCCCGCTCCGCCTCCAGTTAGAAATCACATCAACTGGGTTATATTGTAAACCAGAAATAAATATATTAACTGTAACAGTTATATTTTAAGTAGTTAAGAAGGTAGCAGACAGAACAAGGCACGCAATCTAAGCGTAATACATTAAAGAAACTGGTTACATGTAAGTTCTCACCCTAAAAGTGGTTCTAATAATTTTCTTCAGACGCCAGACACCCTTCCAGCTTGGGTCCAGTTCTTCCCCCCAGTTCAGTCTTAATTGTTTTCAGCAGTCATCTTGGGTGGGGTAGCAGGGGCGAACTGGTGACCTGGATTACCTCACTCCCCACCCTTAAATAGGATTTGCATAAGGTGGGAGTCCTTTGTTTCCTAGTTTGACCCCCCACTAGCTTCTTGTGGAAAAGTACAGAATTCAAGATGGATTCCAGTATCCGATGACATGGTCACATGCCTCTGTAGGGCCCCTGTAGCCATTATTCACAGGCTGACCCACATGTTCACAGGAGGACTAAGCTCTTTTACAGTCCATTGTCTCTTGCCGATGGGCCATCAGCACTGTCGGTCTTTTTCATTGTTGTACCTGAAGTGCTGGCAGGGGGCATCACCCAAAGTAACATAGTTGAAATACAGATATATAGTCAATATTCCTAACTTCAGATACAGAAATGATACAGGCATAGAAATTGGATAATCACATTTAGTAAATCATAACCTTTCCAATGATATCTCACATGACCCATCTTGCATAAAGTAATCTCTGTTATATCATATTCATATCATAAGCATATTTTCATAAAGAATATGGAATGACGTGTCACGGGCCCAATCACTGGGGAGCGGATTTAATTCTTCTAGGCCTGTCCTCTTCTAGGCCTCCTTCCCCCTCCTCATGCAACCTTTCTTAGATGCGTTATAGTCTTGGGTCTCTTACAGATAATACCAATATCACAGTGGCATCTCAATTACCTTATATGCACATATATAGTGTTTTATATTACCTTGTATCCTGTGATGAAAGAGCCTATTGTAAAGGGCTATATGCCAGCATTAAAGTTGCTGTTGGGAGCCTTAACTCTGACTTTCCTGACTTCCTT